AATATTTGGCTTTAAAATAGCACCATCTTGTGGCGAAACCCAGACATGACCACTGCACACAATGGTAGCTCTGCTGGTAATCAGACCTGGGCTTACTGGAGGGGAAGAGAACCTGCCCCACCCCAGGGCACAGATTCAGGCCCTAATTCCTGGCCTGGCAGGAGCAGTGGAGGAAGGGACCAGGCATAGCACATAGATAGATCGTTGTCACGAACACGTGGCCAAGCCGGTGCCTCCTGAAAAGGGCCGTGGAGGCTCCTCCTGGGGTTACAAAGCAGGTCAGGCCTCCTCTGATGAGCATTAGACATTTCTCTGCAATCCCGGGAAGTATTAAACCCGCCCAGGAGATGCAGGGCAGCTTTCCTTACGCTCTGGCCTAAGGTCCCCGAGATCCCACTTCTGCCTTGCTTGTCCCCCTGCTACCACTAGCTCCAAAGCCAGGCCTCTGCCCTGCTGCTGTGCCTTGCAAACACCTTCATTTCCTCAGACAGAGCCACTCCATTGTCTGCAGCGCTCAGGGGAAAGGGCAGGGTGGGTTTAAACCAAGCCACCGATAGCAGGGTGGACATGAACAATAACACCAACTAGCCAGACCTTTCCACTTTCCTGCCTCAGCTCCTGACCTGAGCTGACATGGCTGGAGTCACCACTCAGCGCCCTTCTTCGGCCATGGCAGGAGGCACCCTACTCCTAGGCAAGGACATGGGCTACTCTAGGCTCTCAGCTCATTAGCGGAGGAAAGCAGCAGGCCAGCTAAGCTCCTGAGCCATGCCATGCACCAGGAGCCATCTCTCCAGGCTTCTCCCTTTATGACATTCAATGCAGCTTGCCAGGCACCAGACTGCCACCCCCGTGTCTCACACAGGCCACCACACAGATAAGACCTTCTACTAACTGCTCCTCAGCCGAATTCAAACCCTCAGCCTAGAAAGGAGCCTCCACGTCTGGGGAAGGGCCATGACGGCAGCATTCAAAGCCAGGACTAGAACTCAAGGTCCCTGCTCCCAGTCCCGTGTTCCAGCCCCTGCCCTACAAGCCTGCCTGAAACACGCCACAGCCCATCTGCATGGCACAATCTCTCCTTTCCAAAGGCACCCCAGGGAAGTTTGCCTTCAGCCAGCCCTGCTGCTGGGGCTGCAGGTATTTAAGCAAACACAGCCTGTGAGCTAGCGCTGTCATCAAGGAGCACGTGGGCCATGGGGCACCCATGTTCCGCCCGCAGCACCAGACAACACCAGGCATTGTCCCTTCTGTCAACACCCAGGCTGGCACCTGGGGAAAGCTCATTGTGCTGCCAGACCCACCCCCAGGCGCTGCAGAGATTAGGGGCTGGTGCTTTGCTTTTTAAATCGCCTGGCTCATCCTGTTCCCGTCACACTGTGGCGAGGAGTCTCCGCGTTGCCCTCTGTCATGGACTGGACTACATCCCTGGTAGGTGCCTGGGCTGCTTTCTCTACATTTGGTGCTTTATTTATTCTCTGTTTAGTTTGGGCTGGTTGGGTTTGTTTGCTTTGGAAACAGGCACTCCGCCTGAATGAGTTATTGCTCCCCATGTCTGGGACAAAACAGACACAGAGCCTGTGGGCTGCAGAGATTCCAGTGCAAAGGGGCTATCTCGATAGCTCCTGCCTAGGGAATGTCTTGCATTGAGAACTCCTTTCAACCCCAAGCATCCCTAGCACTCTGCAAGCTATGTTACATGGAATCATGTCACCCAGCAATGAAATGCAGCCACCTCTGGGAGTGGACATGGCAGCTGTTTAACTAGGCACAATGCCACACCCCAATTGTTTAGGACAGGGAATGAAGAAGATTCTTGTATCCTGTTGTAACTGGGAACGACATATAGAAACAGGGACTTTGTTTACTGTTGGGAAGCTTAGCCTGCCTTTTATGGATGGGGCTGAAGGGAGAAGTGGGAGAGGCATTGCCAAAGAACCCTGGGCTGGACACAGGAGAGAGGGAGCAGAGGTGAATGTGGAAAGGGCAAAGCACTGGCTCACAACAGGCAGAGGAGAGAGAACTCAGGTTATGAACTGTGCCAAGAGAATGGCGCAGGGTGGGTGCCTTGGTAGCCCAGGGCCTGAGGGCTCAGGGACTCTGGCAGCCCCCTGCTGCCACAAGGAACAAGCAAGGAATGGCGTGCTGGGGGGATGCACACCAAGAGGTTACGGGGAAGAGTTTGACTAGCGATTATATTATTCAGTGTTTCTGCTCTAATGCACTTTTCAGCTCAAACAGTCTGCAAGCCCTGCACATATGCAAGTTCCCTACGGCAATGCAGTCATGTCTGGGGTACGGTGCAAACAAACAGACCACCTAGCAATGCACAGCTGTAATCCAGGGAGGGGAAGGGCATTTTAGTCAAGGGGAAACAATAGACTTTCTCCTAGCATGGCCATCACCTCCATACACAACAAACATGGCCTGGGGCTGAGGGCCTGATAATGAAGACAGAAAGCTGAACACAGCTCCTTTTATCTGCCTGAGAGAGACTGTGCTCAGGCAGCCTCCCCTGGGGCTGGGGTACTGCTGTCCCTGTCAGGATTTGCTCTGGAGGGGCGGAGTATCCCAGGCGAAGCCTACACAGAACACTGCAGCAGCACAGCACTTCAGAGTAGACAAGTCCTACAGCAATGGGAGGGGTTCTCCATCACGGCAGCAAACCCACCTCCCCCAGGCGGTAGCTCGGTTGACACAAGAACTCTTCCATCCACCTAGCACTGGCTTACTGGGACTTATGTCGGCTTCACTATGTTGCTCAAAGGTGGGGATCCTTCATGCTCTTGAGCCACCTAGCTGAGTTGATCTAGTTTCCTGCTGTTGGCCTGCCCGCCTGCGGTTATCAGACTTAGAACCCCTCGCCCCATTGATAATGACGACAAAGGGCCCACTAGAGATGTAAGTGGGGGACTGCAGATGTGCAACACGCATCCCTGTGTCCTGATCTGCCTCTGGCACAGCTGTGCACTCAGCACTGACAGTCCAGGGTGGGCGCACTTCACCCAGTGAAGCAAGACTGGCCTCTGTTACTCTATAATCCTTTCCTCCTCCAGGCTCTGCCATGCCAGCCCGGCAGACAGGGGTCAAGAAAATAAACAGGACAAAGCTCTTTGGCCTTAAGGGGTGAACCTGTGAGAAGCCCTTTCTATAACATCAATAAACCGACCCGACACAGGAACTAACCTACCTGTGCAGCTCAGGGAGTTTGTCCTTTCTGCAAAAGGCCTCCCGCTACATCATTTCAATGCCCAGGTGCTCACAGTGTGCTGCTAGTCAGCCTGCCTAGTTTAGGAACCATTGTGGGGCTCTCCCCACTAGTAAGTTGGAAATGTTGTCAGCTGCTGGGACCTAGGAGCAAGGCTGGAACAAGTCAGCTGCCCCCTGTACCCAGCCAGCATAATGGGCACCTAGGGCTGCAACCTTGCAGGTGGTGCCTACAGGAAACGCCCTCTCCAGGAACTTAGATTTCACAGGGCATTGTGCCCACAGACATGATCAGTGATAGTTTGCATTGCTGGAACCCCCTCCACCTGCCAGGCTGAAAGCCAGGTCCAAAGCAGAGCCCGTCTCTTTAGACCCACTTTATGGAAGCACAGAGGCTGAGTGTCTTACCCATGGTCACCACTCCGGAGTGGAAAACGGGAGTCCTGCTGCCTTAGCCGTTTTTTACCACCAGACCCCCATACCGCCTCTCCTCCCTCACAACCCTCTGGGACGTTCCAGTCCTGGCAGGGTCGATGATTCCTAGGACAGAACATTGTTCTGTTTCAGCATAACCTCCCTGGGCTCTGGGAGGAAGTGTTCCTGATGCTGGACAGTGCCTGGAGAGTCACACCCTGTCCTGGCTTCCTTCTCAGCTTCTCTTCTGTGTGCTTGTCATCTCCTGTCCATGGGCTGACTCAGCCACCAAACCCAAGGATCAAAGCAAGGGAGCGAAAGAAAAGAGGAAAGGACCAGCTAGGGATGAGCTCCAGCTGCCAGAGGCACAGGCAGCTGTCCCTGACCCTATGCTCAAGGGGGACTCCAGGATCTCCGTGGACAGCCCTTACATTCTGCTGGAGGATTACGAGCAGAGCATCCAGGAGATGGTGAGCCAGCTGTGGAACAACTCGGAGCCAGCCGACAGCATGTGCCAGGTCAACCTGAGACTCTGGAGGTCCAATAAGAGGAGCCTCTCTCCATGGGCCTACAGGTGAGACTGCAGGGCAAAGCGCCCCAGGCACTGGCACTGCAAGGGAGCAGGGCAGGGCTCTGCTGTGAAGGGAACCCCCCCCCCCCCCAACGCTCAGCTGTGAGCTCCATGTGGGGAAGCCCTGTAGACCCTGATCCATTGGGTGAGCAAGTTACATCCCTGTGCATGTGCCCAGTGCCCCAGATGCAGGCATTGCCCTATCCAGGCCCATTAATGGGCACCCCCCTGCACAGACTGAGCCCACTTGCAGGCTCACTTCCCCATGCGTGCGTTATTGTGCACGTACTGCCCCCTTTCCCTGTGTGCAGGCACTGTGCTCTATGCCCCAAGCAGGCATTGCCACAAACACACACTTGCCCAAGGCAGGTGACTGGTGCACCAGCGCCCCAGTCCCTGCATTCCCTACAGGCTGCATCAGCCTCACACTCTCTCTTCTCTAGGATCAACCACGATGCCACACGGATCCCAGCAGACATCCCCGAGGCGCAGTGCCTCTGCACTGGCTGCATCCACCCCCTCACCATGCAGGAGGACCGGCATCAACCCCTTCACCATGCAGGAGGACCGCAGCATTGTGAGCATCCCCATCTACAGCAAGCTGCCCGTCCGCCGGCTCCTGTGCCACACCCCACAGGGCTCAGGAGCCAAGCCCCGCAGGAAGAAGAAGAGGTGCCACAAGGAGTACAAGATGGTCATGGAAACCATCGCTGTGGGCTGCACCTGCATCTTTTGAGGAGAAGAGGAACCGCTCGCCCTTGCTCCTTGCTGGCAGCACCAACCCCTCAGCCTCTGTGCATGGACACCAACTCTCATCTAACCAGCTGCCTCCTCTTGCTGGATCCATTTGGCAAGGGCCCCAGCCCGTGCCCAACACGCCTCTCCCGCAAGGAGACAGAAGCACTGTGTGTGCAGTGGTGGTGGGATCTGAAGCAAGCAGGAGGCAGCTGCTTAGAGATGGTTTGCCTCTTTGCGCAGCCTCCAGCATGACCACAAGCAGCTGCCACAGGGCCCTCCTCTTTGGGATGCACCATAGGCCATGGCAGCTCAGGGCCCTACAGGGCCAGCCATTCTGCAATGCCCGCACCCCAAGTTAGCTCCTCCAGCCGGAGAATGGGAGCAGGTGGCTGCCGTCCAGGATCTCGCTTCTGCAAGGCTTGGGAGCTGTGCATGGCCCTTGCTGCTTCTGCTCCCTAGGCTCAAGACAGTGCTTCAGCTGCATGGGCCGCCGCCTCCACCTATCACCAGCCAGCCCCCTTTGCTTAGCAGCCACTCGCCTTGGGGCTCACATCCAGGCACTCGCATTGTTGCACACCCATTCAGGCTAACAGTCCCCAAGTCCAAGGGGCCACCCCTCTCCCAGCCAGGAAGCATGACTTGAAAGGAGGCAATGCTCATGGGCAGGTCCTGAACCACCTCAGGCAAAGAGGCCAGGAGAGGCAGCTCCTCTCTCTATAGCTAGGATGGGGCCACCTACAGCTCCCACGGGTGCCAGGACAGGAGATCCAGTCTGTGGCCAAGCAAACTCTGCAGCTGGGGGGCAGTTGTACCGGATGGTGAGTACAGTGGGCCCTGAGCTCAGCTCACTCCAGCCAATCTGTGAATCTCTGGCCTCATCAGATCCTGATGTGAGAGCACAGACCCTGGTGTAAGCAGCTGATCACTACGGAGCTGGCGTGGCTGCTGAAGCTAAACCCCGTGGTAAGGAACATGCCTTATCTCAGTGCCACACTGGCCGAGCCGTGACCAGCAAGTAACCTGATAGCAGGGTCCGGGTTGGAGCAGGAAGCCTGGTTGGCTGCCAAGGGCCTGAGGGCTTCCAAGGGCAGCTGGCGATAACAAATTGGAGTCCACCATAGAAATCAGCCACGGGGGAGGGACAGTGTCCTGTGGAGAAGGCTGCCATGTCCACCCAGGCATGGAGCATACTAGCCTGCAGGAGCAGAGCAGGCGAGGTCTTGGGATGGGGTCAGAGATCGCTGGGGGCAGGACGTGGGCACAGACAAGCCTAGTTCAGGAACACAGCCAGGCAGTATTGGCAAGGGACTGGTTCCTAGCCGGCCTTTGTGCACTAGACCAAGACTGCCCCTTGGCACAGTGGGACTGTCAATCCCTCCTCCAACCCCAGCTGATCAGAGTCTGTCTCACCTTTGCTAGCCCATGCAATGCCCATTGCTGCAGCCACAGCACCAAATCCAGCTACTGCCCCCTCAGAGTGCAGGGTCTCCTTTGGCTCAGGGAGAGGACATGTGAAAACAGACAAAACCAGGCTGGGACTAGCTTAGCGGTGAGCCTGTGCTGAGCTGGCTAACATTCAGCATCGCCACCACCCTTCACGTACACTGACCAACTCAGCCTCATGTCAGCACTGCAGTACCCACTGTACACTTGGGGAAACTGAGGCAGTGAGGCTTCACCAGTGCCACAGTGCTCCGTTGGCTCCATTTCTTTTGAGG